GTAGCAGATCCAAGAAAACAGGTTTGAGGGCCATTAATGAAAACACAGCATGGCCACTGTATCATGCAGTGAAAGGAACAACACATGCAGGTCAGAAGAAACAAATGCGCGACTCACCATCAAGCATTTCACATGAGCCATGACAATAGGACTGACATTAGAAAGATTCCAAGAGTGAGTGTCTATGATACATTTATACCTCTAAATCAGAGAGATGGAAGAAGGACAGAGACCAGTGTTTATTATAAAAATGATAACATCTCTTCTTCTTTTCCCTCTGAAGTTCTCAGACAAAAAAGGCCAACAAAGAGACAGAGCTTTTTTTCATAGGCACTGATACACTGTAGGAGTTTATCCATCAACGTTGCCCTGCATGGACAGTTTTTTATTTTTATTTTAAGTGTTTATACACAAAGACTGATCACCGCATGAAGCCATGTAATCGGCTGTAGCTCCTGACGGAGCTTGTTTCATCATGCAGGGACAATCATCTCAAAAATGCTGCTGCAGGGTTACAACAAAACAAACAATGTAGGATTGTGTTCTTTTATGAAGGGACAGAGACTGAAAGAAAGACAGATAAGAGGGGTAGACAGATGAGAGAGTGGAAGAAAAAGGCCAGACTTTCAGCCACATTTGAATATGTAATCTGGATCAAGAAAAACATGTTAATGCTCCCAGCACACGCTGTGACTGACACATCAACAAATCACAATTAAAATTCATTAAGTCAGGTGTAAAAACCAACCCCCACAGTGTGATTGTGTTGGTAGAAGTATGTCAGCTATTGTCTTCCTGGCCTTTGTTCTTCACCGAGTTGCCTGGAGAAGAACTGCAATGTCTGATATCAACAGGTGAGACTGGACAGGTGCCATGGAAGTGGACAGTCACACCTGCCATGTTTGTTTATGTAGATAGCAGATGGAGTTGCCATGTCCCCACCTGCTTGGCTGCTCTGCATAGTGCACATAAATAATCTGGTCCAATCTTAATAATAAAACCATTCAACAGTAGACAGTCTTCAATAACATACAAAGACATTTAGGATTTTAGCTAAAAACAAGAAGAAGAAAAAACATACACTAGTGAATTGGTAATCCTCTTAAGTTTTTGCCAGTAATAGCAGATTTGTTCATTTCTTTTCTCTTTGCAGACTATTCCAAGTGTCTGGAGGAGAAAACACAAACACCTTCTTTCCCATCTCTGGCTGGACACCAGGGACTGACAGCTCATACGTATCTTGGCTACTTTAGCTTTGTAAATAAAAATGTGTCCGTTAATTCTAAAAGATGACATCATGACAACATTAAAAGGCTAAATAATGATGTAAAGTAGTTGGACATTGTGCAGAAGTAGGATGTAGGTTCACTCAAAATAAACTACAATTCCCATGGTCATTAGTGCGACAATGTGGCTTATTGATGAGCTTTTGCAATCAGGGCCCTTCGACTTCAGAGTACTGTGTGTGTGTGTCCTGGAATGAAATAGAAGTTAGTTAACAAAAAGGCAACGTATTCATGGCCTGCGGAGAGAAGCAGATGATCTAGATTCTATCGAGCAGCAACTCAGGGCCTTAAGGTGCAAATTCACACTAATCCCTGCAGCACCCAGCTGGCTAGCTCACTCGCATGAGCACTATTTCTGCATCTCTTCCTACTGCTCACATGCACACTGAGATACATATGCGCTACCAATAAAAACAGGAAAAAAAAAAAAAATCAGTTTGCAACCACGTCGAAATGTCACATTTGGTTTCAGTCGTTACAGGTTACCTGGGTGAAGTTTTCACACTGATCTGCTCACGGGCAGAGCCAGGCGGTGGCTCTCTCTATGAGCTTAAAGTACAAAAGTAAAAAATCATAGCCTCCTAAAGCCATGGTTGTAAATTCTGTTTGCTTCTGACTTATTTAATTATGTTTCTTTCCTCTGCTGATTTCAAAGATGAATTATATGATGGCTATGTGCATAAATACACCGACTGTTTCTCTGTATTATTAGTTAACCCCTTATTTTGCAGTTTAAAAACACCCTCATCTAGAGTTCAATGTCATTAAAACACAACTCAACACACAAAGACACCTGCATGCAGCCCCATGCTCAACAGTAGCTTGATCTTGTTTCTCTACTGCCACTGGAACAGGCACAGCAAGAGAAGGAGAGCGTGTGTGTGTGTGAGTGAATCAATCCCTCATTGCCCTCTGTTTCCTGTCAGAAGTAATGAA